ACATTTCAACAGGAATTTTAATCTTCTTTTAAGAGAAATAAATTACAAGAACTATTAAAATACAGAAAAAGGATTTTAAAATGTTAACAATCATTGTTATAAAATTTAATATTCAAGATTTTCAAATTTTTTATATATTCCAAATCATGGTTAATTTAGTACAAGTGACTCAATTGTTTCTCTCCATATAGATACGTAATATTTCCTAAGTTGTAAAGATAGTAAAGTCATTTGACCAACCATGAGGTAAGCATTGGATCCCAAATATCTTGCAAGAGAGGTAAGTGATATTTTTTAAAACTTTGAAAGTGGGCAGTGAAATTGTTAGAAAACTCTCTTGAGGTTTCTGAAATTATCCCTAAGAAATTTTGGTTCCGCTGTTCAAAGCTTGTGAGGTAGTTGTTGGTTTATCCTACCGTTAAGATGGATGACACCACTGTTTTACTTTCATTTTTCTTATCATGACGTTCATGTCAGGGTGAGAAGGACAAGAAGCTAAATCCGTACCTCTAGACTCTACATTTCACATCTTCCTTTTTTACTTTTTAAATTCATCAAGGGATCAAATGTCCACATTTACAAGATAAGAGTATGAATTTAGGTTTTTTTTTTCTTCTTCTAGAAGGAATTTAGGTTTTTTTTCTTCTTCTAGACAATTATATATATTGTTTGGATTCGAGGTGTGTTCTTTCTTTGAAACTCTTCAAGATTTGAAGCTGATTTTCTGATAATTGTCTCCTACTCTTTTGAGCTTTCCTTCTTTGAAAGCAAATATGTGCAGCTAAGTACCTTCCATATTTATTAGGGATAATTTCAGAAACCTCCCTTGGGGTTTCATGAAATATCACCTAGCTCCGCTAAACTTTTTAAAATCTCACTTAGCACCCTTGAAATGATAGCAGGGCCATATATTAATATAAAAGGTGATGAATTGTCAATAATACTCTCATATTTAAATTTTCTAAACTTGTTTTTCTTTTTCTAAATTTCCTACTTTTCTTTAATAATGTCTATACAAACATATGAAAATATTCATATATATATATATATATATATATATATATATATATATATATATATATATATGTATAATTGAATTGCAAATGTCAATGAAATATTCAATGCATTTAAAGAAGAATAGCTGCAGGTTCTTTTTATTTTTTTCCTTTTTTGGTGTTTCACAACTTTATTTATTTATTTATTCCTATTCATGTAGAGCGCAAGAGAAATAAAGTAATTGAAACTCCGAATAGTTTTTCAAATTATGACTTTTTCTATAATAAAATTTTCATATTTCACACCCATAAAAAAAAGTCTGTCTATTTTAAGTAAATTTTTTGTATGATATTGAAGTTGAATTTCATCTATTACTAAGTTTTTTTTGCTCAAATGTATGGTTTTACATGCTAATTACCTTCAACACTATGAAGGGTTCTATTTATAGAAATAGTTTAAAAAATAGTATTTGCTTTTACTATCTCTTCCTACTGTAGAAGTGACTATTGGCTGTAACATAAAATCTTACCAATTTTCATCTCCTCACTTTTAAGATGGTTCCAATTTAGTACTTTTTTTTTTCTTGGTTTATAAAATGTTCATTTTTTTTTATAGCCTAAGAGTATTAAAGGCACTAAAATAATCTCTCTCCTCAAACATGAATTTTTTAATATTACTTTTGGTTAGAAGGGCTTCCAATGTTACCAAAATGTCAATTCAAGAAGTGTTAAGTGAGATTTTGAGAACCTCAAGAGAGCTAGGTGATATTTCATAAAACCTCAGGGGAGCTTTATGAAATTATCCCTATTTATGAAAGAGGATCAAAGTGGTTTCCACTTATTCTCTTGAATGTTTCAAACATGTAATTGGAATCACTTATTCCCTGAATGACTAGAACCCATAACCTGTCAATTATAGATAAAGTATGTTACTAATTATTAATTAATAATTAGATTATGTTTTGCTGGCGAAGGTGATATATAATCCATAACACTTTACGTGGATACTCGAATAAGATGAATATAAACACGGCAACAAAAGATTTCTGATCCTCTATTTTATTTGAGAAATACAAAATGTTTCCTTGCTGTTTTGTGAGTTGATTAGTGTAGAAGCATTGGAGCAATTACTGGTTTTGTTGTTACAGACAGACTGCTGACTCCTGTGTCTTAAAAGAATATTGTGAATAATTTTGATTAAATAACTAAGAAACGAACTTCTGAAACGAACTTTAAATTTAATGAATTCAGATCTTAACATATTCAAATGCATTTGATAACCAAAAATCAAACATCTGAATTAATTAAGTAGCATTGAATTTTTTGGGTAAAAATTGCTCCCAAAATTAAGTGATAAGTTATTCACTTATCATTCACTTATCACTGAATGTGATATACACTCAAATGTATTATATTTAATACTTAACAATTCAATAACTTAATCGATTCATATTTTAAATTTCAGACTTCAATTTTCATATTTTAATTTTATCAAACGCACCCTTAGTCAATCAAAACTACTAGTAATTTTTGTCATAATTAATACAAACAGTAATGTAAATTGATATGGCTTTCCTGATTTAAAAAAAAAAAAGAAAAAACAAATGGTTACATTGTAAAAAAAAATTATTTTCAAACATTTTACAAGGGTTTAAGAATATTGACTAATTTAAAACTTAATTTAGCAATCCAAAATTTTCAATTACTAATAAGCATGTAAATATAAATGTTCACATATTCCTAACTCATAACCATATTAAATAGTATGCCTTGGTCTACTACTCATAACCATGGAGAAATCTCTATTCCTTTTTGCTAGCATGGTCCGTTAAACATGCCTACATAATAAGTGGCCTTGAAGACCCAATTGTAGTTGGAAAATGAAAACCCAGGAGAGAGGGATACGATAGAGTCATATCCCAATATTTCTCCTAGGCATGTTTCTTTACAAGTTTTGCCCTTCGACAATTATCAAATTTCTGGATGCTGTGCTGAGCGTAATTGTCTGGGTGGGTGGAATCCTGTTTGAGGTTTGGAAGTAGCCTTCATTCTCCCAAAAACAATAGTAAAAGAGCCTTAAAATACATCAAACTAGTGTAAATATGGTGTCATCAAAATAAAAATAGGAATATATATTAGAAAATGAATGGTATATAGATAGATATAAATGTAATAGCATGTTTAATTTGATTTGAAAATGAAATACTTACAAATATTAAACGCTCGATTTGATAATCTTATACGAAGATTCGAAAACATTCTTTACGCCAATTAACCTTTAATACAAAAGCCAATTAGTGGATTAATTAACATTGTTGAATTTTGTGGAGTTTATATTACAAATGAGAAGACACAATCTTTGCATGAATTAATCCGTTGGTTAAACAACCTACCTCCATTTTTATAAAAATTAAGACCGTACAGAATTCAAAATTAGTATATTTTTACATAGTTTATAAATAATACTGTAGTATACAAAAATAAATATGTATAAAGAAATTTTTTCTTTATTTGTAATTCTTTTAGATAAGAAGCGTCACAATAAAATACATATTGTGCATCTCTGCATGCATGTCTTTCTTGAAAGTGAACTTCTTGTATCTTTTGGAGTACTTTTTTGGGATCACTACGGTTTAGGTTTCGATTTGTGATCAGTTGTCTTTTCTTTTGCAATCTTGCAAGTTTGGAATTGAGACATCGTTGAAATGTTTCCTCCGTGCTCAGACTATGATGCGTACGGTTGTTTTTCCTTGCTTTGGATGGATAATAAATGAGAATAAAATTGGTTAGGGATTGCTAGTTTTTTAGAATGATTTTGTGTTATTAGTTATTTATTATAGAATTATGGGATTTATAATTCAAATGTACTCCTCAAATTTTGCAGATATGATTTGTGTGTAGTGGTCAATTACTTGAATGATTCGTGTTATCAGTTACTTGGACTTTGGTTACTGAAGTTAGCTGGATCACTTAAATCTGCAGATGTGACTTGCGTATTGGTACAAGGATTATTAGCTATTTGGACTTTGGTTGTTGAAATCGGTTTTTTAGAATGATTTTGTGTTATTAGTTAGTCAACTGATGAACGTTGCCCATTCTTATCCAGTACACATGACTACCAAATAACAAGAAGGTCCTACATCTTTCTTAGAATTACTCTAACCCATTGACAAGTACTTTCGCGTCCTCCATTTTTACATGAGCCCGTATTTCCAAGGCATACACTGACGAGAAGGACCTCAGCCTTGATTTAGTGCAGAAAGTTCCTCAATTATTGTATTTTATTTTTTTGAATTAAAACAAAGTTTACATCACATAAATACTATTAAAGAAATGAATAATTTTTTATTCATCATCAGTGTGTATATACTATTATCATTGAATGTATAACAATTAATTTTAATTAAAATTTAAAATCTAAAATTTTACATTTGTAGTACGCAATCATCCAACTGTGATAATGTATATACTAACACTGCAGTGCTGTGTCTAAGATCAACTCTTAAAAACAATAATGATTGCATTGTTGTGAAAGCACATTGTGTGGCCAGAATGATTTTACTTAACAAGACAGAATAGTCAAAGTTTTTTTAACTCCTCAACCAATTGCTAATAGGATCCACCACTTTGTCCTTTTATTTTCTCTCCCGAGTTGGCTCATAGCTGTGTATGAAAGAAGATGTGAACTCCACCCTTTTGCATCCCTTGTTTAGAGTACAGATTCGGTTCCAAGACTGAATACTTTTGCTAATCATGCAACGTTAATAAATGATTTATTCACAAATTCGTTTTCCATGATTGATGATCATGACTTTGTAGTTATGGTCATACGGGATGGTGACGCCCCGCAGCGAAAGCGTACCATTGAAAATAGTTATGCTCCGTTTGAATTGCATTTTCTGTTATTTTTCATGAAAAAATTACTGTAGCGATTTGATATATGTGAAAGAAAAAGATAATAGAGAAATGTGATCACGAAAAACGACGTAATTTTACCTTGCAGTGACCTCAACAAATTCTATCCCTTTTATCCAACCAATCCTATGAGATTTGGAATGCTCTTCAACAGTCAATTTTAACAAATTTCCTATGGTGCTAGAGATAATATATGATAACCACAAGTCTGGGAGGTCAAGGTTTCGAACCTTACTTTCCATCAATTGTCACAATAAGAGACTCTTCTAAAATGTTCAGATGGGTGCGTAGTGCACCCGTCTGATCCGATAGTGGTTCAGTCTCCACTTGTTTCTTGTAAGTTCAATTGAGCCTCCCCTAGATAAATTAGAATATATTAGGATATAGATAAAAAAGCGACGAATGGCAAAAAAAAAAAAAGAGATAATATGTGATGATCATGACCTTGTACTTTTGGTCACAGGGGCGGTGACGCGGCAGCGAAAGTGTACCATTCCAAATAGTTATAGCCATTCATATGGTGCTAGAGATGAGATATTTCGATAGCTATCACCATCCATTATCAAATCAAAGATACGATTAGAAATTCTGCACCTGATTCAAAATATTCGATTTCTCTAAGTTTCGTCTTACTTTGACGGAAGAAAGATTACGGACCACATACACAGGCTGTCTGTTTTAACGAAAGTTATCCCTAAGATTAGAATTAATCCAAGACGACGCCCTAAAGGTATCCCCAGGATTAGAATTAATCCCAAGAGAGCGATTCTCGTAAATAACAAAAGAGCGATTTACGATAAACTCTGAAAAAGATTTAGAAGAACTTTAATTTTTGAAGAAGTTTGAGAGAAATTGGTAAAAAAATCAAGAATAATTGATAAAAGTCTGAGAATAAAAGTCCTAAAATGTCTATATTTTTATAGGTAACAAGTTTTAAACTGAAAAAGAAAAGAAAATGCACGTAAAAATTGAAAGACAAGCAAATCAGACAGTGTGACCACCTTAAAAGGATGCGCAGGGCGGATCCATCTCGTGAATCCATCATATATATAACCAGCTTCTCCTTCGAAGGCTCAATAATTCGCCCATGGATTGTGTCCACAAGCAGGCTCGTGACTCCCTCAATATCCATTAAAAATAAGATTCCGCCACCTTTCTTTGACCCAACCTCAGCACGTTCCGTCTTGGCCAAGAATGTATCTGCTACATGTTCCAATTGAAATTTTGCAAGCTAGGATATTCCCCTTTTAAGATTCGTACCCTATTTTGATAATTCAATTCAATATTTAAATTTTAATATGTTCAGATTTTAATATGTTCAGACGCGTTTAATAACAAAAAGAAAAATTGAACATCTAAATTAATTAAGTGGCAATAATGAATTTCGTAGCTAAAGAACTTATCAATGAACGTGATATACACACATTCAAATGTATTAAATTTAATACTTAACAATTCAATAATTTGATGAATTCAAATTTTAATTTTATCAAACGCACCCTTAAATAAAAAAATTAAAAAAAATCAATGGGACTGGCCATTTTATGACATAACTCACCATGATGATGGTAAGTCATATGAGGTGGACACTTCAGGCAGCGTGACAATTTGTGATGTTCAATGTTCCAAATTCCACGACCTTGCACCTTGCACCTTGCACCATCATCTTTGGACAAATATGAGATTGTAATTGGTGGAGTTGCTGGCGTGAGATTCTTGATTTGTCGGGCAAGAAGATGGTTAAATATAAGGGCAACTGGGTTCCAGCGGTAATTGGTTTGATTGGGGGAGCCCTGACCATTTGTCTTGTTGAGCAAAATTATTCCGGCAATAACGCCGCCCAAAGACTAAAACTTCAAAAGTGCTCTGTGGAACAAACTGGCTGTCTGTCCTGGCACGGCAATTGGAATAAGCTATTTGCTCCTGCAAATACCAATTGCTTTTTTTTTTTTTTTATTGGAATTTTTATATAAAAATATATGTACTGTAACGATTTAATCTATAAAGTACTGGAAAAAAACTTATTGAGAAACGTGTTTACGAGAAATGTAAAAAATTCTTTGACAAAAAAAGTAAGAATCCAAAAAGGACATTAAATTAAGTTATAAAATATTTCGCTTCCATCATAAACACATCTTTATCTCACGTATATCATATTACAAAAAGTGCTACTACAATAATTATTTCAAATAATACTACTCTATCCAAACACATGAGTATAAAACATAGTACAACGTTTGGATTTGTGCTCACCTCTTCACCATCATTTACGAGAAGAGCCCAATCCCATGAAAGTCAGCAACTTGCATTTTTTTTATGTGACAGCAAGTCATTGCCAAGGAAGAAAACAACCACACACGACTCTGGAGTCTGGAGTTCTATTCTGGTAAACTCACCATTTTGAAGGTTATACAAGCAGGCACTCGCAAGGTTCAATAGCTGGTAGTAATCAATTCTTGAATCTCAATCAAACAGGATTTGGGATATCTGAACAGGGGCTCGCTTTATGATGTGCATGTAACACTTCAACTGCTGGCAATTGGTAATGTCTAGGTACTGAATCCCAATTCTTGCAGTCATGATAGTTAGTAGATCTTTATCAACAATAGTTGAACCAGAGAGATTCAAGATCCTCAAATTTGGAAAGCCTACAGCAAGAGCAGAATCCATTTCTTCTAATCCCCCTAACATCGGGACAGCAAGTGCTCATGTGTTCTAAAACTGTAGGAGTGAAGTATGGGGAGTCGGAGAAGTCAATAAGCTCTAGTTTTGGGCATTTGCTCATTACTTCCAAAATTGCTCCCTCAGTTGCATTGTAGGATCCATGAAAAGAAAGGTGTCTCAAGTTTGGGCAACTGCAAGAAAATCAAAATGAAACAGAACTGCAAGTTTGGGCACATGCAGTATGATAACAAAGCCTAGAAGGTGAAGTTGAAAATCCACAAAAGATAAGTGTGAACTTAATTGTAGCTGATAAGCTTCAAAGGAAATTATTGGTCCAGCAATTGATCACAAATGTACGCTATATGCATTGCAATTCATAAGAGCTGCAAAATTACATCCTGAACCTACTTTTTTACACCATTCTACTTCATATTTTGAGCACAGGAATCTTTCTAAGCTATCAATTGTAGAAGAGGGTATTGATGACCATACTGTATTGATGACTATACTAAATATGCTTAGCAATCTTAAAACCGGAAGTGCATAGAGTTGCCCAGGGAATTTACATCATACCAATTGAAACTAAAAAAATCATGCATTTGGAAAGCAAAAACGTCACTGAGATTACCACAAGAGTTATATCCAATACCGAGAATATTCATTGCACTCTGCTGCTTTTAAGTTGTACTACTACAACAGCTCGTTCCCTTCTGAGCTGAGCTACACGATTTTCTTAGTAATGATTTTTTTTAACCCAAAGAAATTTTTCATATTCTAAGGACAAAGTGGAGAATCAGTTTTCTTTCAACAAGTTTTAAGCTAGTTTCCAAAAAGTTCAGGCCACTCTGAACTCGTAAGAATGATGGGATTTCATCTAGAAATAATTTAATTTGGCTCTTTCAACATTCCAAATACTCGGTTCATCTTTCTTTCAAGGGAAAGCATCCAGAATTAATTACTGGAATAGAAAGTTCTTAACGTATCAGGAATGATATATAGGCAGCTCAGTCAATTAGTAACCTACTACTAACAGCAACTCAAAAAGTACTACTACTTTTCAACTGAACAAGGTATGAATTAAGCAAAGAGGTGACCTTTGTGCAATGAGACGAAGGAGGGCGTCATCATTGGGACGGAAAGCCTCGACACAAGTAAGAAAAGGGAAGAAATAGAGAGAAGTAACGGCAGCTCCGCCAGCCCCTCTGGTAATCAGTGACCGGAGCATAGCAAGTCCGCGGTCGGAATCGGGGCTGCGCCGCCCGTCAAAAGGGTCGTCAAAAGCGAGGCTGTCAAGACGACTATAAGAAGAAGAAGAAGAAGAATGTTTGATGAAGGCATCATCAAAAGCACAAGCAGATGATGAGTGTTCGGCCGGGATCATAGAAGCCCAGCACCGAGGGTTGCGAGAAACGTCGGCCCACGATCTGCATACCAGAGGGAGGCTGCAAAAGCGATCTTTGATGGGGGTTCTGCAAAATATCTCCACTAGGGATGTGCTGGGTAGAGCATCCCATGATGCTCTTCTTTGCATTTCCTCCCTCCCTGCCTTTGTCGACCACCCAGCGCACAGCCGAACCAGTTAGAAAGTGCAGCAACAGATACCTCACTGGTTAAGAAGCATTATAATATCAGAATAATTATCAAGGCTCTCTCCAATTCTCTGCCTATTTCCCTTTTCTTGCTTCGACAATTTCACCTTGGCTCAGTCCCTTTCTTTTTAAGGGGACCTTTCACTCACAATTCATGCCCATGCCTGCCTGAGGATGTGGCTTCTTTCCGGTGCGTTGTTGTCTGTTTGCCAAAGGAATTTTTTGTCAAGATATTTCCCACAAGTTTTTTTGTCAAGAAATGAGGCAATCCCCCATTTTTTTTCCTAATTAAATATTTTTTATTGGAATCCCTCACTCTTCTTCGTACTATTTTCATATCTCTCTTATTCAATCACACACTAATAGATCTATTATTTTTTCCAATTCTCAATCGCACACTTTTTAGGGATTTTGGTACTTGAAATTACAATAATTCCATGCTTGATCCAGTGCAATAGAAATTAAAATATTAGAATTATACTTTAAAATTTGACCATTCATGATTCCCAATCAAATTGAGGGGAATTGACCAAAATCCTCGTTACCAGGCCTCTAGGAATTATTCCATTTCCCTTTCCAATTCCAAAGCAAGAAGAACCAGGCACCCCTCAATCCCACTTACATCTGATGGGCCCCCTACTTTTGGTCTTTCCTTGCCGCTCTTGCCATTCTTGAGCAACTCGCTCTTATTTTCTCCCTTAATCACTCCACAATCACGGAATAATGAGGTAGCGGTCGATTGAGAATTGGGAGTGTAAGTCCAACTCAAACTCAGTCAAACCAAAATACTTCAGCTCGACTTTGACTTTATTTTAGTTTTGGTTTACTCGAACTTAATTGAGCCTAACTTTAAATAATATATAATTTAATATTTTATTTTTACATTTTAAAACAAGGGATATAATAGACATTCTACGTTAATAAGTTGTTTCCCACAGTACTGCTTAGCACCGAAAGGGCAAACAAGTTCACTGGACAAATGCTTGATGACACTATTAGCGACACCAAACAAGTCTTTTATGCAACCAACTCCCAATAGAGGAGTTGGTTTAAGGCTTGATGAGGCGAGAGGTAAGATCAAACTTTATCTCTCATTAATTGACCTTGCATCCCATTAATTGCCACAAGTGCAACTCTCCAAATCCAGACAGATGTGTAGTGCATCCATCTGATTCGATGATGGTTCAGTTCCTGTCGGCCCTCCCATAAGCCCAGTAGTTTGGATCCTCCTGGGAGTGGGCGTCAGAGTAGATGTAAAATAGACAAATACCGAGTGTCGAAAAAAAAAACAAGTCTTTTATGCTTTATTATTCTTATTTCCTTCTCCATTAGCCAGATTTTAGCAGTTGGCTTTGGAATTGGCGGTTCAAATATAGCCTCCCACGGCTGGCTGGCGCAGGTTCAAGACCACCACGACCAGACAGGGACATAATGCGCAAAAAACAGTTAGCCTAGCTAATAAGTATGCAAAAACAGGCATTTGCTGCTTTTACTTTTGTAGCTTCCTATGTATCCACAGGATCATTCTAAATAATTCAATTCCAGGGACAGTAGCAAACATATAAGAGAAACCAAGTGGGAAGAAAACGAGAGATAAACATGAGAACAAGCAAATGATGCAAAACAGTATACCTTAAAATGTTTCAACTTATTCACTAAGTTATGTACAATTTCTGTTGCAGGCCATAAGGTTTTTGCTTTAAGATGGCTCAATTGAGACAATCTTCAGCACTGGTTGTATCCCCACCATCATCAGAGGAACCTTCGCTGTTCCCATTCAATGACAAAATAAGCTGTAGCAGCTCCCGCCCCACATCTGAATTCTCTCCTCCACGCTCAGGGCTTGTCCTCCGCCTTTGCAGGGAAATCAACTGCAACATCAGGTCCTCTGGAGAAGCCAGATGATACATCCAGCGCCGATTCTTGGGCCTCCGCTGGAAACAGAAAGTACAAAATCATCAGCAACAGTGATCATCATCACCAAGTGTCTATACAACTATAATCATTGCATACGCTTCTTTCCCATCACAGCCAGTCATCATCATCAGAATCACCAAACTCATCATCCTCATCCTCATCCTCATTAATAGTGTCAAAAGAACCATCACAATCGTCAATTATACTGTCATAAAACTCCTCATCTTCACCATCTTCATCCTCAACATCCACTGATTCACAACCAACATCATCATCACTATCACCCACAGAATCTTCATCCTCAACATCCACTGACTCACAATCAACATCATCATCATTATCAACCACAGAATCTTCATCATCCTCTTCCTCTTCTTCCTCATAATCATCACTAAAGTCCTCACTATCACCACCATCATAATAGAAATACTCCTCGTCATCATCGTCACTGTCATCTTCATATCCGCCAATGGGGAAGAAATGAATTCGACCAGGAATTAGTACCTTAGTCACAGAAGTATCAGCAGAGAAATTAGAAGAACCTCTCTGCCACCATAAAGATAGTGTCTCTAACATTGTGGAATTGTACTAGTGGGCCTTAACTACTTCCACAAAGATGTAGCATCATATGCCCTAGGTATGTTACCGAAAGTTCTAAGTAGAGTTCTAGCACAACAGAGATGGAACAAGAGTAGTGCAGGGAATATCCATGATTTTATCAATGTAAAACCAAGCATGCTACAGAAGTAGAATCGACATTCTTTCAGAGATAACAAGCAGAAAGAGGATTAACGATAAACCTGGAAGAGCAAACCACGTAGAAAAGAATCCAATAAATTAAAAGATAATAGTCATAAGCAATGCTAGAATTAACAATTTGCAATGTTGGCATTAACACTCTTCAACTATTAGTTTTGCTTCTCCTCTTTCTTTTCTGTTCCCCTAGTAACGCAACATAATGTTATACTACCCAGGTTCTCACCTAAATCTCTGCTTAAAAGCTACACACTGCAATTATTCAGTTTTGCTCTAGTGAAAGAACCACCTTCTCCTTTAACATTCAATTAACCACATTTGAAGATGAGAGGAGAATCTTCAACGCTATTTAACTAGATCTCTGGTATGTTTATAAAATTTCTCCCATCAAACCCTCAAAACTTTACATCACAAGAATGTGATCATTCTGATCAAGTGCATCCAGTAGCAAAAGTGCTAAAGTTGCTCCATCGGAGCATGTGTAAAGATTAAAAAGAAGGCCAACGCTTTGTTTGTTTGCAAAAGTGGAATCATCAAACAAGCACTTCCTCAACACCTGAAACGAGTCTTTTTCACTATGCTTAGTACCTTGCTTCAGTTGGATAAATCATGGACCAGTATCACTTTCAGCCTTGCACACAATGACTCTATTAATAGACATCCTGTTAAAATTTATGTGGTAAATTCAATGCAGGAACTTTGGCTTTAATACTAATTTTGATTTAATGTCATGACAACAATCAGACTATGCGACACAATCCACGGCATTCAAGATATAAGTTTATTTACCACCCTTCAGTCCTCCACATTGATTAATTTGCTGCACTACATTTAGCAGTTGCGTTGAGTCCAAAAAAGCAGCCAGTAGGTAAAAACCAAACAAGAAACCATAATCAGTATGGTTAAATAATTAATCAGCAGTGATGACACACCTTTTCAATGTTTGTCGGCAAAGTAGCCCTTTCAAGGGCTTTTGGAGTCCATAGTTTTATGTCACTCTCAATTCCACTGCTAGCTAGCACCATGGTATGAGGATGAGGCTCAATACAATTTACGACATCCTTATCAGCTTCCATAACCCGAATAAGCTCCCCATCTTTCTTCTTCCATATGAATATTCTCCCACAATCTGATCCGCTCACCACATATTCACACTTAGGACCAAAGAAGTTCACACCCTTAACTGTGTCACAGTTCCTGTGCCCCTTGAAAACTTGGGGACCAGCTAGAGCATCAGCATCCATGTCTGCTGGAAATGAACTTGTCCGGTGATCATTACCCATTTCAGTACCATCACTACTGCTGGACACAGGAGAAGGTGGTACTGGGTGAGGTCCCAGTCCCATATCCTTCGAAAAAAGATAAATGAACTCATCAGCGTAGGACACGAGAAGTTCACTCTGGTCTGAGAATGCCAATCCAGTTATCCCTACATGCTTATCACCACGTAAATGAGTGGGACAAAAGAAGTCAACAGGCTGACCAAAATCAGTTGATTCATTCCATTTATATTTGCGAATATCATAAAGTCGAGCAAATTCATCTGCTCCAGCAACAGAAAATAAATTGGGATTTCTTGGATTTATTGCAATTGCATTTAGTTGAACAACTGACAGGAAACTCCTTTCCCTAATAGGTTGGCATGTAAAAAGTTCTGTAGCAACTCCAGTCCTCAGGTCAATCTGTTAGAACATTTAGCCAAAAAAGTTCAAACAGAGAGGAGGCAATACTATTGTGTGTGTGTGTGAGAGAGAGAGAGAGAAGGGGTTGGGCAGAGAATGGACATAATGGATTAAAACTTACATGCTGAACTAATCCATCTTCACCACAGGTATAAACTATATGCGGGCTTCCAGGTTCAATGGCCAGCTTATGAGCTCGTCCGTGATGCTTAGCCAGGAGCCTAGTCTCCACTTTTCCACGCTCCAGTATCTGAGCATGTCTAACCTATATAGACAAATGCCCTTGATAAGAAAATCCATTAGAGTTTCTAAATAAGTATCAAAAAGACTTGTATGTCTTCATTGTTGAGCAAACTGATTGTATACCACCACTAATAAACAAAAATTTAATCAAACAGAACTCAGATTTCAACCCCACTCTATTTTAGGAAAGAGGCTAAGGGTGACGATCCAAAATGGGTGAGCTCCCAAAAATTAGAAATAAAAGACAGATCTCCTTAGAAAAATGATTGATGATACTAAAAAAAAGGTAGGTTTCGGAACGTTACGTACGCTTGCAAAAATTCTAGCAGATAATGTTCTTTTATCTTGTGATCCTACTTAAATGAACAATGAAATTTATACCTGTCCGTCAGCAGCACAAGTTACAATGCTTCTATCTTCAGTGTATGGCATGATTTTTGCTTGGAAGACATTGTTGTGATGGCCTGAATGGAATGACAGTCTAACATTCCCACCTTCCCAATCCCACAATATCACTCTCCTGTCATCCGAACCCGATATGAGAATGTCTCCATCAGCATTAAAGTTAACTGTGTTCACACAACCTCTGTGTTTATCCAGCTTCCCAAAGATGTCAAGACGAAGCACAAGATCCTGAGACAATTAACCATCGATCAAATAGCAGACATATGAAGCTTAATGTACTAAGCTTCTCCTAACAACCCAAGTCTTCAGATGTTGGTCTTTTGTCAGAGAAGCTATGGAAAATGAACAGGAAAACCACATGTAGACCATGAAATTATCCTTGTATCCATTAATAGAACTACTAGCAGGACAAAGGAAAATTCCAACTCAGCATTTCCTACATCAAAGCATGATGACTACATCAACGCATGATGATATAAAGAAGTGTGCATTGACTTAGATCTGATGCAATAACATAGGAAGGCTGACATTGTAAGTTGTAGCTAGTAATGACCCTCATAGATGTGTATCACTATACATTTGTACTGAAGACAATAAGACTCTCTCTCTCTCTCACACTCTCACACACACACACACACAAATAAAGGAAAAAGAACAATTGACCATTTCTTACAAAATCAGCAAGACAATTTAGACTCCTGATTCAACAGAGACAAACGTGCAGTTAAAAGATATTTGAAGCCATAAAAGAATGTACACATAAGCAAAGCTGAGATCCAGCAGGGTGAAAAGTAAGGGGGTAATTGAGGTGTAAGCAAAGCATGGAAGACAAAAAAAAATACTCTCCATAAATTAAACCCAACATCTCTTGCAAGCTTTATCTACAGAAACTACTTAACGTACATCTTCTGCAATAAAATTATCAAGACTTGATTGCAATATAGGATGCACGAATGTTTTCTTGCTCATTCTTTGTGATACCTAATGAGAAAAGTATTGCTGGGAAATGCTCTCATAGAGGCATTTATTTGACTGAATGAAAGCGCACTGAGTATATTGTGAATGCCTCAATTGTGAGTAGAGAATAGGTAAAGAACTTTGTTTTATGTGCTTTAATTTAACTTTATTGATTGAATTTGCTAACAATTTCTACTGCAACTTTTTTTGGTTGGGATTTGTTCTGCAGCAAATATATTTTCATTTTTATGTAATTTTGCAATTATAGATCAAAATACGGCTTCGTACAATATATTTGTGCCATACAAAGTACATAAATGAATGTACTTTGGGAGAAATAGGACCTGAGTGTAATTGAATACGAATAAAAGTCAAGCAAAGTTCAAGATGCACAGTAGTCGTTTATAAAGGTGGGGGAAAGAAGCATTGAGAGAGAATACTAGTGCATTTAACAACCAAAGACTCGTACCTTCCGTCGAAACTTGAGCTTATAGGCCACAAGCAAAGCTGTATCTGAGCAGTGTTAACGTGATTGAAACTGAATAAAGATCAGTTTATTCCGCGCTACCAATTAGCACTCAATTGCTCAAAATATTACATTAAATTCATGAATGTAATCACTAATTACAAAACTGAGTATAATATCAGTGCATACAAATAGGACACTAAATTCGACCGAGCATATATATATATATATAGACACACACACACAGAGATATCGACTTATGTACGGAGTAACAACTAAGAAGCACATGATCAAGTGAATTATCTTAACAGTAATGACGCAAACAGAAGTAAATTATGACATCCATAGAGCATTGAACTCAGGCAAAAAAAAACAAGAAAAACTTTGAACGATTAGGTTAAAGTAAATGAGGTTAAAGGAAAAATCGAAAGCAGAAGAGAAAAAGGGGAAAACCTCAGATGCAGCAAGACGGTGAGCGAAGTTTCTGGTGGAGAGGTCGCCGACCTCTCGTTTCCAGAGATCGACGACGGCGGTGTCAAGGCTGGTTCTTGCCCTCTTTCTCATGGCGTGGCGCCGATGTCACCGAACTGCTAATCTATCTATTACTTCCTGCTGCTATGAGTTATGAAATGAATAATCACTGCGTCTAGTTCTCAACTCCCAAGTGAATGCATTTATATATATATATATATATCTCGCCAAAATGAAAAAAAAAAATATATATATATATCACTAAAATAAAAAAATAAAAAAGGAAAAAAAAGGAGTGGCTCTGGCATCAGTAGTAAATAAGGAAAGATCGGAGCAATTAAGATAAAATTCCCCTCTCCTCTTTATTTATTTATTTTTTAATAATAATAAATACTAAAACGGAAATACTCAGCAGTTGGTAGTCTCGCCAAATGGATTACTGGTTTTTGTTTTAATTGTTCGTTTGCTACCATCAATAGCAGATGATAAACTTCCAAAGCCTTGGTTTTACTTTAGTGTTTGTTTGGACTTGCTTCTCATTATCACATGGAAAAAAAAGAGAGGAAAAAACACAAACACACAAAATAGGCGAAGAAGGACAGCTGCCTGACCCAACCCGACCCCCCCCCCCCCCCCCCAAAAAAACCAAAAAAAAAAGAGGAAAAAAAAGCCTAGTAGATCTGAGTTTGTTATCTTACACAGCAAATTGTTTGTCTTGACAAATGCCCTTTGGCCTAGTTTCCTAGTTTAGAAACGAAAAGAAAAGAAGAGAACTGATACATTACGAAAGAAAAGAAAAAAGAAGAGAAAAGATATAAATTTTGTTTGGGAGTTTAGAAAAGAAAAGAAGAGTTATTATTTTATTTGAGAGCTGAATGGAAATGGGGAAAAAAAAGATTGTGTATTAACTTATTTCACAGATGGGTTCTTTAAGTAAAAAAAAAAAAGAATTGTTTGGATAGTGAATTATTTATTAAAATTAATTTATTTGTATCATTAATATATTTTTCAATCACTTTTTTATATCAAATATATAATATAAATTTGTTATTTGGGAGTTTAGGAAAGAAAAGAAGAGCTACTTTTTATTTGGGAGCTGAATAGACATGGGAAAAAAAGATTGTGTATTAACTTCCCTTTTCTTAAAAAAAAAAAAAACTGTTTAAATAGTGAATTAATTATCAGAATTAATTTGTTTGTATCATTAATATATTTTTTATTTTAAATACATAATATTTTTAAAAAAATTATTTCAAATAATCTAAGTGTCTGAAACACTTATATGTTCAAGGACAAAATAGGCAAAATAGAAACGGTCATTTAAAATGGCGTCAGCCGCCACACCCACGCGGCTAATACTCTGGAAAATGCCAACGCCGGCAATGGATCGCCGGTGCGGTCCAGTGGTGCCGGTGTGTTGTTCGCTGTGCAAACAAGGCCAGCGCTTCCTAAGCTCCCTCGCCACCACCGACGAATCCTCCTCAGCCGCCCACCACCGCTCACTTCGAAAGTTCGTTAAAACTTCATCCAAACACGTGGCTCTGGATACTCTCTCTCATCTCCTCTCCCCCACCACCGCTCACCCTCACCTCTCCTACCACCTCGCCCTCCCTGTAAGCTCTCAAGTCTCTTTGCGTATGTATGTATATCAATTATATCTACTGATCCGACAACGTAACGTACTCTACACCTAGCTCTCAAGCCCCTTCTGATGCTTCTTGTAGCTGTACCTCATAATGAGCCAAGCTTCATGGTTCAGCTGGAACGCTAAGCTGTTGGCGGATGTAACAGCTCTCATGTACAAGCAAGAAAGGTTCATCGAAGCTGAGGCCTTAATTCTCCAGGCCCTCAAGAAGCTGCCGGCCCATGACCGAGATCTGTGCAATTTTTATTGTCATCTCCTTCATTCCAACGCCAAGCACCGGTCCAGCAAAGGAGTCTTTGATTCACTCACGAGCTTGAAGGAGCTTCTCGCTCGTTCGTCGTCGGTTTACGTGCAAAAACGAGCGTACGAGTCGATGATTAGCGGTCTTTGTGAGATTGGGTTGCCCGGCGAAGCTGAGGATTTGATGGAAGAAATGAGAGGTGTGGGGCTAAAGCCATCCGGGTTTGAGTTTAAGTCCTTGGTTCATGCTTATGGAAGGTTAGGGTTGTTCGAGGATATGAGGAGAAGTGTGACTCAAATGGAGGACGCAGGGGTTGAGTTGGATACGGTTTGTTCAAATATGGTGCTTTCTTCACTTGGATCGCACAAGGTTTTCTCCGAAATGGTTTCATGGCTTCGGAGAATGAAAGATTCGGAGGTTTCATTCTCTATTCGGACTTATAATTCAGTCTTGAACTCATGCCCCACTCTCATTTTACTGCTGCAAGATCCCAAAACCATTCCCCTTTCAATGGAAGACTTGATGGGCAATTTGTCCCAAGAGGAGGCTGATTTGGTCCGGGAGTTGGTTGCATCATCCGTTCTGGACGAGGCAATGGAATGCAATTTTGCCGAGTTGAAGTTGGATCTGCACGGAATGCATTTGAGCACTTCATGTCTGATTTTCTTGCAGTGGATTGACAGGCTGCGGCTGAGGTTTTCGGCGGGAGACAATATGGTTCCAACTCAGATCACAGTGGTTTGTGGGTCGGGAAAACACAGTGCTTCAAGAGGGGAATCCCCAGTGAAAGGTCTGCTGAGGGAGATGATACTGCGGATAAAGTGCCCTCTAAGAATTGACAGGAGGAACCTCGGATGTTTTGTTGCCAAAGGGAAAGTTTTCAGTGATTGGTTATGCTGATTTCTCAGACTGCTCCGAAACTAAGATCATGCTGATGGGCAGGTATCGATGAAGAATAATAACATGGTAGCATTAATTAAGATGGGCATGCCTTTTTCTTCTTGTCATCTCATTTTCAACTTACTTGGGTAAGGCTAAAAAACCTTGATCTGCTGAGAGTGCTGACTGAATCTGGCAGCCCCTGTAATGCGTCAACTTCATTATACTTCCAATACAAAGCGTGCAATGCATTATGCCTGCAATGGTCTTCTTTTACTATTTGCTGGCACAAGGAGCAAAGAACCGCCAGCATTACTTTGCCCCAGGTGTGGCATAATTTAGCGGATCCATTTACAAATTTACATCATGACAAAATTCTTGGAGTGAGGCCCTCCAAATTTACAAGGAAATGCACTCAACAATAACCAGATCATCGTAGAATCGATGACTATACATACAACTGGCAATCCAAGGTTTATATAAAATCCTTTTCTTGATATTTATATAAAATACTACATTGCCTTCCAAAGGATGCAATGAGGTTCACGCAAAAGACTCTTAAATGAGCGTTCGCACATAGGTATTCCTGCCTTGTCTCTTGCTGTTTGGAAAAAGATCGCCCATGTTGAATCATCTGGAAAGTGTAATCCAATGTCTTTACAAGAGCACTGGCAGGGTCCCCAAAACATAAAGATCAGCAGAAGATTTGAAGTATGGCAAGCACCATGAACATTGAGATCATGCCATCCAGGAACTATCCATCTAAATTAATGGATAAGAAGCATTGCAACAAATGGTTCTATTGCATTAAAAGTAAAAGAAAACACAAAAGAGGAGTTAATAATAATCCTCAAACATGGCCACCATAGATTTATGAGTACTTTTTCTATCCCTGCTGCAAGAAATATGCAGAGACTTTCAACAAATTCCAGCTGCATTGAGCTATCACGATAATTAACCCAATCAGCCTCTTCCATTACAATTTCTTTCCCAAATTCAACACCCAAAACTTGCACCCTGGCCAAAGCTAACAGTGAATAGAGATGGTAATGAATGATATGTTGATACCGTAGGAAATATAAAACCATAATCACGGGAAGGGTGATGTCTAGCAATAAATGCAGATAATAAACCACTACTAATTGTCACTAGTATTAAGCCCATCCAGATTTTAGCTTTAATTAATCTATGCTACCCTATACATGATGCGAAGAAGCCTTCTTACACATTTATTGCCAATGCATCACTACATGGCAGAAGACAACACACCAGAAAATTTGAGGTGAATCTACTAAAAGTTTGTTGAGGCTAATAAATTTAGATGGTCTGTTTTACAAGAACAGTGACCTGCTCACCTGGCCCCCGTCTGCACACACAAGATCATAGCAAAGAACAATCCCAGAAAAACGGGGAGTGAACTTGCTAGGAATTGTATTGAGGCTAAACGAAATCAAGTAATAAACCAGTTCAAGTTGCATGTAACCAGTATGGTAAATGAACGCACAAATATATGTTCCCATGGACGCCAAACATGTAAACAGATAAGAGCTAAAAACCAGAAATATGTAAAGGAGCATATAGTGCGGAAGTATATATCATACCTAAGTAACCTAATGCTTCCAAAAGAGAGTTTATCCACACCAACTGCAAAACCATTTTGGTAAAGTCAACAGACAGGAGACACAGAATCCGAAACTTCCTGCCTTAATCAAAACCAAGGCATCCACCATATATACATCTTCCCTAGGTTTTTATGTGAGACTGCTTCTGCAATCAATCGACGAGCTTGGCCTTCTACCGCCAAAGGCAGTGATGGTGCAGCTCCAACACCGACAACAACTCCTTGCAGTCGTGCTTCAATGTTACTTATGGCTCGCTGCAGTTCAGAAAACAGAGTTAGCTCTCTATGGTTTTATGGTTCTATTCTATTATATATATCCCAATGGGAACAAAGTTCAGGGGTCCAAAGGTAACTAAAAGTCACCTGATAAACAACTACCAATTAAACCAATTGAATGCATTCACTCAGAAACTTCTAATGCTGAAACAATTTATCCGCAATGTAGCTTGTAAGAAAAGCATTTTACAGAATTTGGAACAACTATAGTCTCAAATCAGAGTATGGAATTGCTTGATAACACTTTTTTGTAGTAGATAACCCCGCAAATAAAGGCATATAACAGCTTCAAATCAACTAAGGTACTCCCATACTGAGAGATTGTTGGACTTACATCAACTGTAACACGAATTTTTTGTTGAAGAAAGATAATATAAACACAAACCTGTGCATGGGGGTTTTGAACTTCTATCCCACTGGACTTGTGAGATTTAGTCCATTCCACAAGGGGATCATGGATGAAAGTCTCTAAAACATTCATCAGTGTCTCTCTGTGTGCCCTCAGTACTGAAAGTGTGATCTCGCAGACCCTCAAGAAGACGCCTTCATATCCAGTAATGCCCAATCCATCAATAATGTTCTGCAGGTCCATATAATACCAGTTGTAAGCATATTCTAACACCACACCCTAAATAATAATACAAATCCAATATAATTTAAAGCAGGTTGCTGAAGAATGCTGTTAAGCAATAGGGAAAAACATACACAGCCCTGTCTACCAGCTACAGGGGAGAAGTTATTACTTAAACCTTCAAATGAATTTGAAATTAGATATTTATACTATGATTACAAAGCATTCCACCTGCATGAGGTGGCAGAAAGATAAACTGAATTTCAAACTTTATTAAGTGTTCATTTTCTAAGGCCAGTGCCAAAGATAAACATCTCCACATACTTCTGAGAAAACTTAATTTAGTAACTAATTAAAAATTCTCTGTTTTTCAGTCACAATTTGCAATACAACCATTCTTCTTCTCCTCTTTACCTGTGTCAGCCTAAAAGGCACCAGTTCAGGTTTCTCCAGCTGCAACCCTTTGTCAAATAAACAACTAAAATCAACATGAATACAGTCACCTGTGGTAGAATCAAACAATATATTTTCACCGTGTCTGTCACCAAGGCCAACTATATGCCCAACCATTGACCACACAGCAGTTGTGTGGGCATATGCAACTCGAGCCCTAAACCAAGCAGCTGGTTCTGAAAATGTGTTAAGAAACCATCTATGGAAGGCTGGAGGAAACATTGGCAAAATTTTATTCTTTAGCATTTCTTCCTCCGGCATTTTCCCCTGGCACTGGTCATAAATTCGCTTAATTTGAGGATTCGTCTTCTGTCTATCAAATTTCCTGCAGCTTATATAGATATCTTGGAGAATGGGTCGCAGTCCACGAGTGTGAGGAACCCACTCAACCATCCCACAGTCTTCTGTAAGCGGAGTCACAGCAAATGTGCGAATATAAAGCTTACGCTTGCGGCTTTCAGGGCACTTGGACAACAAACGATTTATCATTGCATTGAATTCCATCATCCGTGCATCTTTCCTTAAGTCATCCTTTGGCTTGCAGAGAAATGGACGCTTAGTACCATCACTGCCGAAAAGAAAAACCTGCAAAATAAAATAGTCGTAGAAAATCCACAAAGACACTAGACACATGCAAGGAATGTTATGGGGGAAAAAACATCCTGATTTTAAGCAATCATTCCCAAGAACAATCTGCCATACATCCAAAAACAAGATGCACTCAAAGGTCAGAATGGCAATGATTACCTGCTTCCATATGTCAGAAAATAGGATGCTTTATGTCCTATCTATGTCAATATCTCTAGCAATAAATTTGGGAAGGAATCTCTTGGTTAAGATAGAGAAGGAACAAAACCATGCAAACAAATATATATGAACATAGGGACTCAATAAAAGTACAAACCATTTAGGAATAAAAACTAAAACTGGGGGATGAAGTCAATATAAACACAATTAAAGGCAATCCATTTTACAAAGTGTGAACCATTTTCCACAAATGAAAACCAATTAGGTTGCAAACTACTTAGAATAGAAACCCTTACTTTCTTTGGTCGTTGAAGCGAGGAAAGAATCTCAGCCTCATCTGCTATTCCAGAAATTGTAGGAAGATCTGTGAATGAGAAAATATCAGAGGTGCTGGGACTTGTTACATTCATTTCACATGAAGGTAGATTAACTGCAAGTGATTGCTGAATTGGCATGATGATGTCCACAGGCATCATCCTCTTCAAGGCACTAAATTCAGTTGAGATATTGATTGCTTTTGCCTTAGCTTGTCCAGGATGCAAGCATAACCTAATTAAATGATCAATTAAAGTAGCAAACTGCATAAACAAACTGCGGGTGCCTCCCTGACTGGATCCTCTTCTTGCAGCATCTATGATCTCTTCAGCAGCACTTCTCCTGGAAGGAACTGCGGATTTTGTAACTGCTGCCATAGTCCATAAAGCTTGCTGTGGGTACTGCCGCAGAACAGAGGTGATAATGTGTTTCACCAAACGAACAATTTCCTCATTTTGGTGGCAAATTCTAGACACTAATTGAGGCAGAACAGCTAACCACTGATAGGTTGGCAAATCTTTTAAACAGCCTCGCATGATGCTGGTGACCTACAAGATAGCACCTAACTAATTTTAAAGAAAAGAAAGCTAATGGGAATAGCGGTGTGTTAACAAAGTTATAAGCACACTTTAGAAATAAATAACTCACCTTCGCATGCACACTCTTCATATCTTTATTGGATGCAGAGTCGCTTCCATAAATACAACCAAATTCAAACCATAGGGTTAGCAACCTCGGTAGTGCCTGGAAGAGATTTTTGTGGCCCTTGTGGAGCCCTCTTGCGTAAAATAACAACACATCAGGAAGGTAGGACCACCATCGCCTCTCAGAATTTGAAGCTGCAGAAGATAGAACTGAATTTGATGGGACCACCCTAGGTAGTTCGAAACTGTTTTCCTGTCGTTTTCTGGCATCAACAAGGACTTCATCACAATATTTAGCCATATAAAAATATCCTTTCTCCCACTTGGGTTGCAGCTCCTTTACCCTTGAATAAAGACTTATGACATCTTCCTTTTGCTTTTGCCCGGTATAGTGGATCCATCTAGAGTAAAGTAGGAGGGTCCTTGCAATATCTCGATTCTCATTCAAAGATTGTGTATCACAAAGTAAAGGCTGTGGGTTCAAAGGAACCAATGACAGGCTGGTGATGGATGACATTGCAGCAGAGCCCAAAATCTCAGGCATGTTCAAAAGGGATTGTTGCAGCTCTGCAATGGCACCATCAGCTCGCCTAGTGCTCCATAGAAGCTTAGCCTTTTCCATGTGAACGTTAGGCGCACCTGAAGCCTTAGCTTCCAGAATTGCACGGTTTGCTGTCTCATAGTGACCAGCTAAACGACATAGTTTTGCATATTGCACCCAGAAATTCCCAACCTGAGCACCAAGACCACTAGCACCAAAAACAAGTCTCCTGAAAGCCAAAAGCGGTTCCCTTGCCCACAAAGATGGTTGAGTAAGCTTCAACCGATTTTCCCAGTTTGCTATTATTTTACAGAAATCTGGTTCACTAAGCTGCAACTGTTTATCCAGAAAAGAGTCACCAGCAAGGAGCATGTTGAAATCTTCTAGCTCACGCAGCAGATGAAGCTTTACTACAAAGGGGTAGGCCCGTGCATAAGAATCCATGCCAGCAGCAGCAAGAGGAGCAATCAGAGCCTGTTTCGATGATGCAATTTTTTCGGCCACCAAGAATTGATCTTTCTTCATTACTGCCTGGAGAATCTTAGCAACATCCATGTCAAATGAAGCATTACTCTCAGAACTGCTGCAAAGTAAACCCTCTTCATCAGCCCCAGTGAGATATTCATCCATCAAGTCCCACCTTCCTAGCCTCCATGCTGCCTGAACACCTTGCATACACCACATCTTCTTGTACTGAGGAATCCTAGATATCAATCCATCCACATGAGTCACCATTGCCTGCAAATGGCACATGTTTAGTAAACAATTAAGGACATCTGAGTGCCTTTGAACAGATGTAGGTTCCATCTGCAGAGCCTGCTCACAAGAAGTCAAAACTTCTGCCCAATTTCCTGCTTTTTTGTTTATCAACAGATGGTCTTGTAAGTTCTTTGATTTCCGCAAACAAGCCAAACCAGATAAGCCATCTGGTTCGTCCAAATTGCTGTATATCTCCATCAAAAATGAAACATCATCGTCCTCAAAAAAGCCACTTTTTTCTGCAGCTGGGTTAAAGGAGCCCGACCTTTCCCGCACATGGCACTCAAAGTACAATAAAGACCTGGCAGAGGCCTGACACCTGAAAGAGGCTCTCGCTAGTGTCACTTTAGGAATTGCAGCCAGTAGATCCGAGACATGATTACATTGTGTAAGCACCTCCGAGTCCTTCACAAGATGCATATTATTTTCCTTCGATTTGGGACCTTGCTGCTTACAATTGGATGGCTGCAGGGACTGAAAAAGAGCAAGCTCTTGTTCAATATCATCGACCCACTGACCAAGATTATCAAGCAGTGTAAAGACAGCTTGTATACAGACTTCGCTTTGCCCAGGATTGATACCATGAACAGTTACAGAACCATGATCTGAAGCAGCTAGATCAAGGACGGATAGAATTTCCTGTGTTATACCATGACGTGCTTCCTCATTACCATGGCAAACTGCATTCAGTACTAAATATGGAAGAAGATACATTGCTATTTGCATATCGTGACGCACAATACCTCGGCAGGCATTAAAAACACTTGCCCTAGAACCTACAGCATGCACAGTCAATTTCTTGATCCAGAAGAATATCCATCTTCTAAAAGACATAGAAGGATGGTAAATAGGACCAGAAGATGCAGAATCTGACACATCAGGTAGCTGAAATCTTGAGGTTAAACAAGGGGCTATTATCTCTTTAACATAATCAGAGAAACGATCCCACAGTTTCTGACCCCTACCACAGATTTCAGTGCCATGATTTTCCGTCTTGATTGCAGATGCTGGGACCTTTCGAGGTGGTTTATTTTTTCTCTCTGAAGTAGAAGCTGCAACATTTTCATCAAGAGAGGCCTCACAACCAGCAATTTTTAGAAGCTCCTGTATAGCCAATGCAGCTGAATCTTGAATAATTGTGTCAGGTGCAGCTCTAAAAGCCCTTGCCAGATGCTTATGGATCAATTCGAAGATTAGGTCATCATCTGAGCATGCAATCTTGAAACGTGTGCTTGAAGAACTGACAAATTTTGCAGGATCAACTGCGCCAATTGCTCCAAGGCAGTCTGCGCATATTAACTTCAGCCGCTGTCCAACTGAAGTCCTTGATTCTTCTGCACAGCCTCTGAGCAGCGACGAAAACAAAGAGCTTAATACATCCATATTTTGATTGCCTTCCTTAATAGCCAAAACCGTGACTTCTTCCCTTCTTTGGTTTAGCAGTTTGCCCAGCTCAGATGCTACCATGTATCTAACATTCAAATTTTCATGATTCAACCCATTTGCAACATCTAGGAGTTGCTCCTTCAAAGACCTTGGCCGTTGTGCTTCTTGGATAACTTTATTTAATTCTGCTAAGGCTGGAATTTTGGGTAAAGGAGGGAACTCGTGGATGTGTTGTTTTAAGAGAAATTTATTCTGAAGCACAAGTTCTTCAAGAATCTCCACAATTTTGTTTAAATGCAAAGAGGAATTCACTTTATCTCTCTCTAAGAAGGGAACGAGAGCAGCAAACACTTGAGAAATAATGTGTTTGGTACTGGAAGGCGATATTTTGACCAGTTGTTTAATGAAAACATGCAAGACAGCAAGACCCTCCCCCACAAGATGTTCCTTCCTAATTGCATGCATGAGAAGAACCATAAGTTTTGGCACATAAGTGCTAAGGTGCGTATCCATCATATTAATGAGCATCTCTATGCGTTTGATTGCCTGTTTTTGCAATAATACATCCTCTGTATGAAGCATTTTTCTGTCAATGCTATTAAGAAGACCAACAAAGTGATTCCTTAGAAATCCTGGAAGATCTTCATTGCCTGTTAGAGTTCTCGCAACTTCTTTTATCGTCTGAGGCACCTGTGTTAACCTACAAAATAATATTTAATCAAAAGATGTTCTTTTGCAGGAGCTGCTAACTTTGTAGAGTCTTGTCAAAATCCAGTAGTTTATCTTTTTGAATAAGCAAAGATATAAAATTATGGTTTCCCTCTTCTTCAACCTCCATTCTAAGATTCCACAAACACAAAAAAGGAAAGCACACTGTAAATAAATATAGAAGTTGAGTATGCATCCTCATGTACCATAGTAGGTGTTTAAAACTCAATGTAAAAAGAGAGCCATATTGGAGATTGCACAATTATCAAAATAATAGTCAATACTGCTCAGCCATTTCTGCTACATTGTACCTTTTGCAAACCTCTTCTGGATCTTTCTCATCAATGAAGCACACGAGTTCATCCAAAAGTGCAGGTAGTGCAGCTGCAAAAATTTCTTTGTTGTCAGATCCTGTCTGATCATGGTAGAACTGCAAAGTAGAAAGCAATTCTTGTTCATCAGCTCGATTGAGAGAAAAAGCAAGCACTTTAGGCAGCCAATTAACAATTAGTTGCACCATATCTGTCTTCAGACATTTAGCCATCTCATGCAGTATGATGATTGCTTGATCATTATGATGCTGAAAGACCACGAGCTTTGGAAGAACAACAGGGATCATTCTCTTTACAAGTTCTTCAGTTTCTATTCCAAGCACGGCTACTGCAAACTCTTCAATCATTTCTGGTCGGCTTGCTAGCCTGGTGGATAGGTAATCATACAGCTCATTTCGAATATGAAGAACTTTAGAAAGGATGGTGCAAAGTCCCCCTTTAAAATGAAAATGGCAAGAGCTTTTTATCAAAGTTGATGCTGTTATTCGTACTGTGACATGAGGATTATCAAGCTGATCAATCAACAAAGTTAGTGACATCAAAAATGGTTGACTCTTTATATTTACTGAGATCAAAATGTTTGCTGCAGCTTCAAGAAGAGTCTCAAACATCAATGGATCGTCAGCTGCAGCCAAAGCATGTTTAATTTTGTCCATGAACTTCTGTTCTTTGGTTTTGTTTATCAAATCCGTATCCAAAACTAAACAATTCAAAATAGGCTCCTCAAAGAAGAAACTAATCTGTGTGCAGAATGCTTCTCTGATAGCCTTTTTCTGGTGCAGGAGTAAAAAATCAACACAGTTCATCCATTCAGATCTTGTACTCTGCAATATATCTCCAGTTCCATGGAGTAAGACCCGCCCAAGGATCCCTATGCAAGCAACTTGAACCTCTTCTGATGATTCATCATATAGCAACTGGAAAAATAGAGATTGCAAACATGTATAATCACAACCTATGACGTGTTCCATGCTTGAAGAGCGAGGGGGATGTACAGCAGTTGAACAAAAGTCCTGATTCACCACAACTCTACTGTCACATTTTGAACACCTAAATCCTCGCAATAGATGATGTGTAGTTGACTTCTCTCTCCTGTTCTGTTTGTTCAAGTATAATTTGCATCCACTTTCCCACCATGTACCCAGACCATGACAAGAACCATATAGACAAGCCAGAAAACCAAGAGAGAGAGGAATGGCTTTCTTAATCTTGTCATTTGACTCTAGTAACAAGATTCTGCAAAGAAGAGAAAGCACAAAGTTTTCAGATGTATGAAATTAATGAACAATTAAACACTTTGTAAATGATGCACACAAAAGCCCCTTAATGAAATCCCATTAAAAAGTGCACTCAATCTATCTCAAGATATGGAACAAACTTGCCTACAAGCATGTACAGGGGAGCTAAAATATATAAGGATCAAGCTGTTTTTTAAAAAATTAAAATAAATAAGTGCAAGGTTTCAGGGAAGAAACTGTTGGCATATTAGTAAAAAAATATTTGGCAACTGACTACCATGCCTTTGAAGAAAGCATCAGGAAAGCAAGTTTCTGTTCAATCATACCATACCTACTTAAAAAAATTAAATAACATAATAATTTGAATCAACATACTTTGCTGGCTTTGTCCTATATGTACTGCTAACCTGAAGAAGTTTATGTAGACATGCTCTTGTTGTACACGTTGTGCATTATCCTAAGCAAATATTGGTGTTACAGTTAAACATATAACGTGCGCACTCACAGAATGTCTAGAACTTTCTGTTAACTTACTCTAGCCTCTTGAACATATGTGTCAGGAAACCATAACCAGACCACAATACAATCACTGGCATAGATATGACAGCTTCAAGTCTAACCTCTTCTGCTTGGTCATGAAGACTCAAGTCTAGAATATCAAGATTATTTCCTATTTTTGAAAAATCAATCTTGGATAGCACTTGCACAGAAAGGCATTTTGCCTTCCATGGTGGATGAGGTTCACTTCTTTCAAGAGAATATATCCATGGAAGTTTTAGCATTGAACCTATAAACTCTGTCCAATCAGTCTGGCATTTGAAAAGCTTACCATCCGAAGGAAGGCAGCCTGGACAAGGCAGAGGAAACAAGTTAGAGTAAAATAGCTGAGAATAAAACCATCAGATTCTAACCAATTAAAAGGGTCATCAAAAAGCAGTTCCTTAATATTCACATCAAACACCAAAAGAGAAAGTTGTGGATGCAGGACTACTTTACATCATAGACATCAGGGATCACCAAGAAAGCTTGAGCATGATAGTCTTAGAAGCTATAACTCATGCTTAAACTAGCAAGATCATGCGCCTTCCCCCAAAAAAAATTTAAAAAAAAATGGATTACTTCTCTCACCTTGAGTGAGCAACATGATGTTAACTGCCTCAAGAAAGAAGGATAAGTCAACAGGGGATGGCGATTCTTTGTTTTCCTGAAACCACTAGTGCATAAATCTCAACATAGGAAATTCAAAATATGTACAATACATATGCAAAAAATCAACCAACCTGTTCAGCTATCCATGGAATCCACTTGTAAAACTGCCTAAATATGGAAAGTGAGATATTCAGTTGGGGATATTCACAAAATACAACACAGAGTGCAATAAGAGCTGCTAACTCGACTTCTGGGCTCAATGAGCTAGCCTTCTCAAAAGGAGGTGCTAAATCTTCTACAAACAGACTCAACAAGGAGTGCATATAATCAGCATATTCTCTTTCTCCAGCAATTATAAGCTTATTGGCAGCATCATGCACACCCTTACAATTGGTGATGAAATCCTCACGCTCATCAACTATCTTTTGGCGCTTTGAATCAGCATATTCAAAGTCCATAGATGGTCTTTTCTCTGTGGTTCTTAAATTCTTATTTTCATTGTCCCCTGAGGATGATACACTGCAATCATTAGCCAATCCTCCTCCCCAAAAGTCTAGCCGAAGTCTAGATATAGCCACTTGAAAGCAATCTATCAGAAGAAAAACAGATTTGTCTGAGCGAAGCAGATAGATAAGATTCTCGGGCCTCCAAATATGAGGGGGGCAACTTTTGGCAATCCTGACATAGGCACTACATAAAGCAGCCTGAAGCAGTAGGTTAGTGGATTAGATAGGTCACTATGGTGAAAGGTTTAAACAAACCTCCAGCAGAAGAAGTCCTAAAAAGGACACTGCAGGCTAGACAATCAGCAGCAAAACTAACCTTGAGCTCCTGACTTTTTGTTTTGAGGAATGACTCAGGAAAATTTTTTATGAAAGTTGAAGCTGTTGACTTGACAATATCATCAGGACAACTGGAGTATAATGCACAAAGGCATGCAGCCAAAGAAGAATCATAAGCTGTACCTCTGCATTCAAAGAAAACTTACATAACAATGGACAGAGCATAAACACATAAAGCACTGTTCCAATAATGAGTTGTTAGTGAACTAGGCAAATGAATTACAGTCAATAGAAAGGGTGGAAGATCCAGAAAAAGCCATTATTAAGCCAGGAAAACTTCAGGACACACATGTACTGTACCTGTTTCATATACTTTAGTAAGAACCACTAACAATTGATGAATGCTATGAATGAATGGAACCTCAAATTTACCAAAGAGAGGAGAAGCACAGATGCTAAAAATTTGAAGGATTTCTTCCATAAAATCCATGGGTAAATTTGGCGATTTTGTGAAAGTGCATATATTTGCTTTATAATCAGTCAGATACTTGCAAATTGACCGAGAAAGGTTTCAACAGAGAGGAAACCAAAGGATTTGAAGTCTATCTTCAACCTTCAGTAGTTCATCAGGCATATTGAAGCCAAGTCCAATATAAAAGTACATTTGGAGAACTTTGGATCAATGAATCAGATTATGAAGAAGTATCCCACACAGATCTTGAAAAGCCTTTATAATGTGACATAACCTACATCACTACCCATGAAAATCCAGAAAAAATTGCAATTACTTTTCCTTCTTTTCTGTATTTTCCCTCCTCTTTGCTCTAGTTTAGAACTCCGAAGAATGTACAAATTTATAAATACTGAAACGAGGATAGAGTAACCTAAACTGCAATGTGAAATCAAAACAAGAAACAGATATGTAAAGAATTTCACATCAGGATACCTGAAAGTTGGAAGTCCATACTCATCTTCGCCAAGAATAATTGCCATAGACTGAATTAACTTTTCAAAAGGAATAATGTCAAAGTCCATCACTGCTCCAATAAGGCGGATGAAGTCAAAACATGCCTTATCAAGAAAAAACTTTATGGTCATAAACCAGTGCTGGATAGATAAATGTAGCAAGAAAATGTTTTCAAGTGGCAGGAATTACTAGCAGTTAGCCACTCACAATATGCAAGTTGTCATCTCCATAACACATAAGGGAACAGGCAGCCAAAACACATGGTGTATAGACAAGTCCTTCAACATATAAAGTTCCTTCAGTTAAGCATTTAGACAGTAACTTTATGGCATATGTAGCAAAAGGCTGCCACCTTTCTTTTCCAGTGAGATCAATCAGAATGCCATACCCATCAGCAGGTTTGCTGGATGCTGGGACATGACTAAGAAGAGCATCTTCACCACAAGCTCCGGCAAAAGAGACATTAAAGCACTTCAAACAAACTTTTTCTAGCTCCGTAGAGCACGATTCACCATAAAGGGAGCAAACGTACAGAAGATCTATAACAAAAATAAAGCACATTAACTTTTTAAAATGGATCAGACCTCTGCCAGACAGAATACTGTATGGAAATAGACAACATTAGGCAATAGCAATTACTGCCAAAAAATATATAAAAGTTCTCAAATATACCTTCAACCAGCAACATGATATCCACAAAGAAGTTGCGATACGCATCTCGATCTCCTGTTCGAAGTAAAGATAACAAGGAGCCAATTGTTTCAAAAAGTACTCCATGTCTAGACCTGTAATGAATAATATCAAGAGAATTATGTCAACCGATTCCAGACAGCAGCACAAACCAGTATAATGATTCTATAGCTCACGGAACTAATTTGAAGTACAAGGCTTATCTGTTACAGCTCCTACATATTTTAGACTTGATAGTAGGAGTACATACTGAATTCCATAAAGTTCAATGACAGAAGCCTTGCTGCATTTGCTTTAGATTTTGCATTTCATTCTGTGACAGGCGAGGGGTTTTTTTATTGGTAAAACTTGTTTCAATGAACTCAAAACTGTGTCAGATGTCATTCATGATCAATGGTTGCGAAAGACATTTTTGACATTAGTTCATCAAAAAGTTTGGAGCCAGGCAAAGCACTAGCAATCAATAACAAAAGTGATTTAAAAAAAAAAGTGGAAAGAAAATTTCAGGAAAGAAAAAAGAAGTAATGTACCAAGAGGTATAGTAGGAAGAAAATACAGTTGCAGAAAATCCACGAATAATAAACATTCGCTTGACATTTGAAACGAGGAAAGAATGATATGTAGCATTGATAAGAAATTACTGACCGAAATGCAGGTTCGGCAAAGAATGGCACTATTCGACCGATGATAGGTAGGACTGCAGCAGCCTTGCCGTGATAAAACACTCCAGGAAAGCTCTTTGCGGTATGCGTCAATAGCTTCAATACCGCCATCACCTCTCTTTCTTTCGCTGCGATAAATGATCAATATAAATCAGTGAACAAATAGTTAAGATTCAACACCGGTGTGTAGTACAATAGTCCATGGCAAAAAAAAAAGAGAGGGAGTATAGCAGATTGGATTTGGAGAGAGAGACCTGAGGGTGAGGGGACGACATAAGCGTGGAGAAGATTGGGGAGGACGGCGCGGAAACGTGCCTCCAGAGCCTCGTCGTTTTGCTTGGTCGGAGGAGTTGACGACGACGCGGCAATGCGTTCTCGGAGCTCATGTACCAGGCTTGAGAGGTTCGCCATCGATGAATGACGTCACTCTCACTTCTAAGTTGCGGGAAAGTCTCAAGTGGTGGCGGTGCCGGTGGTTCCCGCTTCCCCGTTCCTTCCCTGGAGCACTTCGAATTGCAGCACTAAATTGAGTTCAGAGACTTTGCTCTGTAGACGGGGTTTTATTAGCACTAGCCACTAGCACCCATGGAGTCAAGGAGCGGAGTATATCACTAAGGTGCACGAACTCACGAAGCAATAATAGGTGAACAAATGCTTCAATAACATAAATCTTTTCTTCTTCAAACAAATTTTTTTTTTCAAAATAGCTAGATATGAAACTTTATATAAGTTATTTTCTAAAAAAAAATAAAATCTCAAAACTTCATATTCGAAATCCTCGTGTGTATTCAATCTCCAAAAAAAAAAATTCAATTTACAACTTTGGGTCCCCTTACCTTTTCTTTTCGTTGGTTGAGTGGTTCCATATTTTGTATTACTAATAAAGTACGCAAGAATCTCTCTCTTGAGAGTACCTTTCTCTCTCTTAAGAGTTGTGCCTTTTTCTTCCTGGGCGTGGAAGTTTTCAAAAAAGTTCAAAAAATTCAAAAATAAACACCTTGATTTTCCAATTCCCACCCACCAAAAAACTCTCAGATTAAGCGAGTATAGACAACCATTTACACTTGAAATACTGCCCGAATCTTTGCAATCTTAGTTTTACTGTTGGCCCTCCAAAAATTGAGACTGCAACTGCTGCGGGAGCTAGAAACTGAGATAGAAGGTGCATAGATGACGCAGTTATACTAAATTTCCACTCGATTGTACCATTAGCTAGACAGGTAAAGTTTTAGTGGCACCCTATTGATTCGGGTTAGCGGTTAAATTTCTCTTTTTTCTTTTTTCTTGTTCGTTTGTGTACCTTTGCGGGGTTGTTCCTGTGCTTAGTGTTTATGTGAGTAGGTGTAGTCTCTTTCTGTTTCGTTTGCTTGTTCTAGTTTAAGATCTCTTCAAGATTGTAACTATGTTTGGTATACCTCTGGTGGTTGAGTTACTATGACTGAGGAACTAGCAGATATAATCCAGAAATTTGCCCTTTCTGAGAAGGAACTGGGGGGCACAACTCTAGACCTGGAGGATGCTGATACTGGAGTTCAGGAGTGCCAACAAAGTTTGGTAGGGAAAATAGTAGGGGAGAAAATAGCTAACTTTGTAGGGGTGAAAAACTTTGTTAGTCTGGCTTGGGGTTACCCTTGCAGCCTTAGTGTCATGAAGTTAGACCCTAACCTGTTTCAGTTTGACATCCCTATTGAGAATGATAGAGAAAGGATACTGAATGGAGGATCGTAGATTCTAGATAACCAAATTCTGGTTCTAAGAAGTTGGTATGATGGAATAGAAGATGACCATAGTGCTTTTAAGATGGCCCCTTTGTGGATACAGGTATGGAATTTGCCAGTACACTGGATCTCTAAGGAGGTGGGGTGAAAAATTGGGTCAATCTTTCAGGAGGTGAAAGAAGTTATTATACCTCAACCTGGAGGAAAGGAAGGTAGGCATTTGAAATTGTTAGTGATAGCTGATATCTCACTCCCATTACTGAGAGGCTCAACAGTTAAACTCAACGGAGTGTTGAAATGGATCAGTTTTAAGTATGAAAGATGTCCGGACTTTTGTTATGGTTGTGGCATAGTTGGGCATAGTGAGAGGAACTGCAAAACGTCCCCTACCATAGTGAGAGGATGGACCTTGGCTGAGAGCTAACTGGAACAAAAGAATGCCACAGAGTAAGTAGAATATTAGTTGAGGAAGGCAAGACAAGGTGGTGTGGGGATTCAACGATGGAGAATTGGTGCGAAAGGCAACAACTGTGGTTTCACAAATTAAGTAACAAGGCAAGGTAGGGAATAATGAACCAGAGATAATAAGAAGAGAGGACCACAAACAATATGGAAAAGGACAAAGAATAGACTCTTGGAATTCCTCTAATTCTCTGAGTAAGGAAGCTTTCATTGAGGGCCTGAATTCAATAAGTAATGAACTAGGCACTGGAGGGGTGCAAGAGAAGGAGTATGGTAGGACTTGGACTGGGAAGGGTACTAAGCATATAGAATAAGGAACAGTTGAGAGGAGCAGTGGTATGCAGGAAAATGAAGAGGGGACTGCAGGAGGAATGGATACAGGAATGGAAGAGATGATGCAGGTAGAAGAAGCTATCCAAGAAAGGAGTCAGGAGGCAATTCAGAAAATGAATAGAAGGATTAGAAGACAATTGAAGTCCCCCACTAGGAAAAGAGCTCCGTTAAGTGAAGTAGATGGAAACATTAGGAAACTGGAACTAAATGGGAAGAGAAAAAACTATCAAGAGGATACTGATATGGTAGAGATTGGGGAGGAGATGATAAATTCTAAATGGAATAAACTGGATGAATCCTTGGAGTCATGGACAGAAGAAGCTGAAAGTGGGGGACCAACCTAAATGGGTCCCTAAGTGATCCATGAGAGCTCTAGTGTGGAATTGTCAAGGAGCAGGGAGCCCCTTGACAACTCCCCAGCTGAGGGAGGCTTATAACCTTCTCTCCCCAAGTGTTGTCTTTTTGAGTGAAACTAAAAATAGAGATAAGTTTATGGAGAGTGTGAGCAACATATTGCATTTTGACCACAGTATAGTAGTGGATTCTATGAATAGATCTGGTGGTATGGCTTTATTTTGGAAGCAAGAAGTGAGTGTAATAGAAATAAAAAGGACAACCTTCACAATTGAACCCCATATAGCTGATAATAACAAGCAAGTTGACTGGTGGCTGATTGGCATTTATGCTAGTTGTGATGCAGCAATTAAAAAGAATCAATGGAAAGTGGAGAAGGGAAGAAAAAGACTGTGGGAAACAAGGTGGATAATTGTATGAGACTTTAATGACATAGTCTCTAATGAGAAAAAATGGGGAGGAAGAGTGAGAGAGGAGTGATCATTCAGAGATTTTAAGCAATTCATAACTGATAATGACCTTATAGATGTAGGTTTTGATGGGAATCATTAGACATGGTGCAATAATTGGGAGAATAAAGGGAAAATCAAGCAAAGACTGGACAGAATGTTGTGCAGCTCCACCTGATACCAAAGTTATGATAAAGCCAAATGTAAATATGTAGACAACTATAGCTCAGACCATAGTATGCTTTTGATTGATACAAAGCCTGAGGAGAACAAAAGAAGGAAAAAATTTATATTTGATAAGAGATTGGTACAGAAAGAAGGAATTGAACAGGTGATTGCTGAAGTTTGGAAGGTGGAAGTGGAAGGATCGAAAATGTACAAGGTTACCAGGAAAATCTCCAATTGCAGAGTGAAACTGTTAAAATGGAAAAAAGCTTTCAAAGTAATTCCAGGAAAGAAATTGACAGAATTAAGGCTATGATTGAGAAGAGAAGAAAATCACCTGATTTCAATAAAGGGACAATGAATGAGCTAAAGAAACAACTCAAGGAAGCATACTCCAATAAGGAAGTGTACTGGTCCCAAAAATCAAGAATGATTTGGTTGAAGGAGGGTGATAAAGACTCACAGTTTTTTCATGCTAGTGTTAAATGCAGAAGGAAAAGGAACAGGATGTTGAATATTCAAAGAGAGGATGGGACATGGACAAGCTCTGAAAAGGAAGTAGGAGAGGAAATGGCATGTTATTATCAACAGCTCTTCGATAGTCAAGGAGTTGAGGGAGTTGAGGAAATGTTGAATGGTATACCAAACACAATTACTGATTATATGAATGCTAACTTAACTAGAACTGTGACTGAGAAAGAGATCCAGACTGCACTTTTCTCTATGAACCCAAACAAAGCTTCTGGTCCTGATGGTATGACACCCCTTTTCTTCCAAAAATTCTGGAGTATTGTCAGACCTGAGGTGGTCCAAGCCATCTAGAGCTTTTTCCACTCAGGCTTCATGCTTAAGTTTCTAAATCACATAGTTGTCCCCCTGATCTCCAAAATTGACATGCCCCTCAATCTGAAGCACTATAGACCCGTAAGTCTGTGTAATATCATGTATAAAATCATTTTCAAAGTGCTAGCCAATAGACTCAAACAGACTCTTGATCTCTGTATAAGCAAAAATCAGTCAGCTTTTGTCCCAGGTAGACAAATTTTAGATAATGTCATGTTGTCCTATGTATACCTTCATTATCTAAAAACAAAAGAACGGAGTCAGTAGGGTGCATGGCTCTGAAACTGGACATGTCAGAAGCTTATGATGGGGTCGAGTGGAAATTGTTGGGTGTCATCATACAGAAAATGGGGTTCTCTGAAACATGGATCAGATGGATATGGAGTTGCATCTCAACAGTATCATACTCCTTTAAGATGAATGGTGACCAGAGTCGATATGTCATTCCCAAATGAGGTATAAGACAGGGGGATCCCTTATCCCTCTACTTGTTCCTAATCTGCTCAGAATGATTATCTAATCTGTTGAGAAGAGCTGAAGAGATGAAGCAGATTTCAGGAATGAGTATCAGCAGAAAGGGACCATCAGTATCCCACTTATTTTTTGCTGATGATACACCAATTTTCTGTAAAGCAATCCCAGGTCAGGCTGAAGCACTTATGAAGATTCTGGCAGAATATGAAAAAAGATCTGGTTAGATAGATAAACTTTGATAAATCATCTGTGTTTTTCAGGAAGAATTTAACTGAGGAGGAGTAAATAGAAGTTTGCAGGAGGTTGGGAAACATTTAGAAGGTTAGTGAAGGCAAATACCTTGGTTTACCCATGGTCATCACAAGATCAAAAGAACAACTCTTTGATTCATCAGAAATAGTTGTCAGAGAATGATAGAAAGCTAGAAGAATAAGTTATTGAGTACTACAGGGAAGGAAATACTTCTAAAAGCCATCACAATGGCTTTACCCACATATGCTTTGTCCTGTTTCAAGTTACCAGGAAAGCTATGTAAGGACATCAGTTCTATGATGGTTAGATTCTGGTGGGGAGAAGAAAATGAAAGGAGAAAGATGCACTGGTACTCTTGGAGCAAGCTTACTAAGGACAAAAACATAGGGGGACTGGGATTCAGAGACCTACAAGATTTCAATAAGGCTCTTCTAGGAAAACAAATCTGAAGACTAGTGACATGTCTCAATCTGTTGATAAGTAAGATCATAAAAGCCAAGTATTAACCAGACAACTCAATATTCCAATGCAAGGTGAGCCAAACAGCTTCATGGATATGGGAAAGCCTGATGAGTGTTAGAGAGGATGTGGGGAAGGGAATGTGGAGGAAAATTAGGAATGGCAAGAGCACTCGGAGGACAGCTGGATTCCAAATAACAAAGAGGGGAAACCTTCAACCAACAAGCCTCAGAACTATAGGTTACAAAAAGTGGAAGAACTGATAACCAACTTCAGATGGAATAAACATCTGATATTCAAAACTTTCAATGGAAAAGATGCTACAGAAATACTCAAAATCCCAGTTAGCTTGAGTGGAAGGGAACACTGCAATTTTTGGACAGAGAGCAATAATGGAAAGTACATTGTCAAATCAGCTTACAAGTTTTTGAGTGGAGGAAAGGATATTCAACATAAGGAAACCAGATGGCAAGGGGAATCAAGCATCACTGGACAAAGTAAGAAGGGATGGAAATGGATGTGGAAACTGAACATCAAAGCCAAATTGAAGAATTTTATGTGGAAATTCTTGAACAGAGCTTTACCAGTGAATGAACTGATATATTGTAGGACCAGAATGGGAGAGCCAATATGCCAGATATGTGGGGAAAGAGAGGAAACAACAGAGCACCTGTTCTTTTTCTGCAATCAAGCAAAGGAAGTCTGGAAATTGGTTCCATTGCAGTGGGATGGACTTGCAGATTACAGAGGAAACTTCAATAAGTGGTGGAATGGTCTACTGGAAGTAGAGCTGTTAATCGAACCGGGCAACTCGCGAGCCGAGCTCGACCCGGCTCGATAAGGGCTCGGCTCGGCTCGTTAACAGAGAGAAACGAGCCGAGCTCGAGCTCTAATGAGTACTCGTTTATTAAACGAGCCGAGAAGACTCGGTTCGTATAAGCTCGGTAGGCTCGAACGATAGGGACATTTTCGTCATTTCAGCGTGTATGTGGTACACTAAGTCATCTCCCGTCTGCTGTAGCCCTAATTTCTCCTTTCCTCTTTTGGTATTTCGTTTTCCCGTCCCACAGGCCAGAGCCGTCACCCCAATCCCCGCAGCCTCCATTCTCACCGCCAAGCGCCATCCTCCATTCTCACCCCACCCCGCAGCCTTCATTCTCACCGTCAGCCTCCATTCTCCTAATTTTTTCTTTTCCCCTTTCTGTCAACTTTTTTCCCATTCCACACCTGCAGTCGCAGCCGCAGCCGCACCCTCTTGACAAAAGCAGCCCACTGAATCAAGCGACTGAATTCCTTCCTTGGCCAGTAGCTCGCCTGATTCTTGCCACCGTCACTGACTCATCATACGGAGCAGCCATACGGAGCCACCTCGGTAGAGCCAGGAGCCTCTACCATACCCCGATTCACTGCATTCTGGTAAGTAGTGACCCTGATTCTTTTTTTTTTTTTCCTTTTCTTTCTTTGTTTTTGGGTTCAAGAATTTAAATTTCAATCAATTTAACAAGCACACATGTATCGAGCAGATTAGAATGTGCTTGGTGATTATATACTGATTGTTGTATCTGAAAAAGATGGTATTGAAGACTGGCAAATATACTAGTAAATTAATAGTGAATGTCGAAATTGTCTTCAAGTACTGTTTTTTTTTTTTTGGAGTGTTTGTTACAATATTTATATAGAATGATTATTGTTCACATTCATCGAAATTGTTCTATTTTCTATCGCTGGAGTTGGATGTTGATGTTAATAAACGAGATAATGTTTTTGGCCCTATGGCTGTTTCCAAGTTTTGCACTAATTAACTGGCCAAGGATGGTAACATCTGCATCAGTAGGTTCCTGCTGATTGCTATTTAGGTCATTAGTTTGTTTAATTAGTTTTTCTTTTTGTGGTAAGAGATGTGTGTTTAATTGGTACCAGTTCCTCTGATTTTCGTCTACTTAATTTCTTTTTTAATCACTTTTTTTTTCCTTTTCTTGAAAATTAGCTAGCAAATTTAGTATATATATCCACACACACACATATACTGGGACCATTATATGAAGACGTGGGAGAAATTGCAGCTCCGATTGCTATTCGATTATTGGTCTGGGCAAAGCCTGAGCATAGCAAATTTTAACAACCTGTGGCTTGATATGCATCACTCTGTACATCATTCATTGAATTAGCTTGATGAATTTGGTCAAGTTAATTACGATTAATCATAAGTTCCTTTAAGAAGATGAATGAATGGCAATAATTAATGCCACTGTCACTTAGACACTTACTGTCCAATATGTAAAAATCTTGGATAGCTGTCCCCATACAGCTCTGGGCTAGCCTGCTAGAATTAAATGAATTTAGGATCTATATATGGCTCCGCAGTCTTCATGGCCTAAAGAATAAGTCTCGCGTAAGTAACTAATTGGATGTTTTTGTTGTTGTTACAGTTTCCTTATATCTGATTTTGAAGAATTTTATAACTTTCTTACTTTTGTTTTGTAGGAATCACTTGATGCGGCCGAATCAATCACATTTGAGGAAGTTGAACTTCCTGAATCATTCACGAGCTGATTTGGTGGCTGTTGATGTTGCTTGGTGGCTTCTGATATGTTTGGTGGCTGTTTATGTAAACTTTTGATGTTGTAATCTGATATTTGGTTTGGACATGTTATCTGATATGTTTGGGGGCTGTTTATGTAAACTTTTCATGTTGTAATCTGATATTTGGTTTGGACATGTTATCTGATATGTTGGTGGCTGTTTATGTAAACTTTTCATGTTCTAATCTGATATTTGGTTTGGATATGTTATTTGATATGTTTTGGACATGTTGTAATCTGATTTGGTTTGGATATTGTAATCTGAGTTTTTATATTCGACCTGGCTTGCAATATTTGGCTTCAATTCGAGCTTGTGGAATTGAAGATGATATATTAAGGAATGTGCTCTTCTTTTGTCCGACTAAATATGAGTTTGCCAGGAACTGATATGCTCTCACCCGTAAACGAGCTCGAACTTCAAGCTCGACAGGACCGGCTCGATCTCAAACTCGAGTTCGAGCTCGAGGTCGAGCTCTCTACCTGTATATCGAGTCGAGCTCGAGCGCCTTGTGAAGCTCGAATTAGTAATAGAGCGAGTTCGAACTAGCTCGATTAGAGGTTCGAGCCGAGCTCGATTGTCCTATGCTCGAGCTCGACTCGGCTCGTTTAACAGCTCTAACTGGAAGCAATAAGCAGGACTAATGGACAACAACACCAAGCACTTACTGTCAACATTCTCTAGCAAGTATGGAAAGCTAGAAATGAGAAGATGTTTAACAATAGATACCGTCACCCTTTTGAAATTGTACAGAAAGCTCATCTAGAGTGGTTGGAATACACTGAAGCCCAAAGTATAGACAAGCAAGTGAGCATTCAGGAAACAATAGCAAGGAACGAGGAAGAACAGCACAACAATGATGAAAGCAATCTGATAAACATTATAGTGGAAGTCAGCCAGCAAGAGGAAGGAAAGCCATTAAGAATTGAGATAGTGGCTAATCAGGGTTATAATACATATGCTGTCTGGGCCATAAGGGAAAGAAGCACAGGGGACAGCATTTTGGACTATGCTGAAGCGATCAAACCAACACTGTGTAAGGCTAGGGAGAAAAACTAGCAGGAAGTGAGAGTAATAGTCTCGCCTGCCCCGTTGATACGTTGCTTGAGGACGAACAAAGCACAAGATATAAGACTTTTTGCTGAGCTGGAAGACATCCAAATGCTAAAAGCTTTGTTTATGAAATGCTCATTCAGCTTGATGGATTACCAATGTAATATGATAAGTAGAAGGATTAGTGTTTATGCTACTAGCTTAGTGCAAGATGAGGAATTCTTAAGTCCTCAGTGTCTAAGGACACTATTGTAAAGTTCAGTATGGGCCTTTGCTGGAAGACATCCAAATGCTAAAAGCTTTGTTTATGAAATGCTCATTCAGCTTGATGGATTACCAATGTAATATGATAAGTAGAAGGATTAGTGTTTATGCTACTAGCTTAGTGCAAGATGAGGAATTCTTAAGTCCTCAGTGTCTAAGGACACTATTGTAAAGTTCAGTATGGGCCTTTGCTCAAGTTGTATAGCTTGTTTTTTTATATCAATAATATTTCTAACATTTTCGTAAAAAAATAAATAAATAAAGGACGCAAGATAAAAAGCGAACCGCACTTTTTGTTCTTCTATTTTCCTCTCCTCACTTGATAAATTCTAGGGTTTAATAGTAGTTTATCCTCGTGAACTTGAATTCTTGTAATACAACTTGTCCCCCTTAATTTTAAATATATACACTCTACGCATTCTTCATTGACTAGCCAAACATTAACGATGAATTTTTCATCCAAAATTTTGATAAAATGATATTAATGCCAATGTATAATGGTTGTGAAATGATGCTATACTTTAATTCAGAATATGGAAAAACATAGACTCACGTGATATAAAAATGAGTTGGTGTTTTTATGCAACAACAATACCTTGCTTTATATTTTGTTTGGATTCTATATTATTAGTGAAAAAAATTTTGAGATTCTTTAAATATGTTTTCCACTATACTTTTATTTTTTTTTCAACCACCTCTTTACCTCATATATATAAATGATATTAAAAAAATTACAGCAAAAAGGTTCTCAAATATTTTTCATTCCAAATGCACTAATTAATTTTATTTTACCTAAAGTAAGCACTACTATCAATACCGAGGTAAATACACACACTGAGATGTTTTTATTGCTAAAAGATCGAATAAGTAATGTAATTGTGTCCAATTGAATTCAGTTTTTGGTCAGGGGACAAATTAACCGCAAGGGATAAAGTGTATATATTTGAAATTCTACGAGACAAAATGTTGCTAGGGGCCAAATTCAAGGGAGTAAAGTGTAACTAACCCTGAATTTTAGGGTACTAGTAGTATTTCATAAAGCAATTTCGCAATCTTAACTTAAAGTTGTCCATTAATACTGAATTCTATACTAACGAACGTACTACTTGCAGAAGTCAAACAATTACCAATTGATATGACAACCTGTATTTCAAAAGATTATTTGAAGCTGATGCATCTTTTAAAGAAGTGGGATTAGTGTGTAGAGAGCAGCGTTATCAAGAAAGATTTATTGACTAAATTCTTGATTGTAACTACAACAACTAGTAGCAAAGAAAGAAATTGATGCTCTAAAAGGAAAGGAAAAATTCCGCATTGATTCTCTCTTACAAGGAAGAACAAGGAAGAATCGGAGTAGCACATTTGCAACTCATAATAACAATGTTTAAAGACAGACAAAATCGTGCAAGCAAAAGAGATAGAAACTCCGTAAATCTTCTGTAGTAGGAGACTTCTTCTGCATACGTAGGTTAGCATGTCGTGGAACCTAACCTGGACCTAGGCAGGCAATGCATCCCATAGTCAAATCCATGCTTCCTTTCTCTAGCTCTTTCTTGCTCAGCTAGAAGAAGTTGGCCAGGTCGAGGGAAACCTGTTGGAGTTAACAGGAGGCAGGGTGCGAACATTGATATCAAGGGGAAGCAAGCGGTAATCAATATCAAGCTCTTTAAAAATATTGATCATCTCTTCAATCAAAAGGGCTCTTCTCTGAAATCTTGTTCCCATGTCCTGATAATTCATTCTGTGCCTAATCCATACCGACATCTTCAGCCTGTTCAAGCCTTCCAGGTCCATCAGCACGACTGTTGGAGAGGAGTACCAATGCTCTTTCTTGCTCTCAACATAGCTGCATTCGAAGCCATTGGAGAAAACACAGAAACAAATTTGTCACTGATCACTCCATAATGATCTTACAATCTAGGCTGTTAACATTGAGCCACTGCTCACAGAAATAAATCCCATCCATGTTACCTGATTATTCTTTGCTTCATAATGGCAATCTTCTCTGCTGGAGTTGCAATATGGACAACAAAATCAACTGAATCGCCCATGTCAGGGCTGCGATAATAGTTATGGATGGGTTTGGTTGCAAGAGTGCTGTTTGGGTACAGTATCTTCTGGTTGTCGAATCTCAGGAACACTGTATTTAAAATGTTCATTTCTTCAACAACCATCTGAAATTATTAAGGAAGGCGCTGCTGGTTAAAGACTTGAATGCCTAAAACATAAAATAAAATAAAAAAACAGAAACCTACAAGGGGATGCAAGCAAAAAAAGAAGGCAGTAATTGATTTCGTTCATCTGTTACCTGGACTCCATCTATCTCGCATCTATCACCAACGTCAAATGGATGCATCACAAATAAGAAAATGATGGCTTCGAATATTGTCTTGCATGTGTTTCCAAATATGAAGGCCACGACAACGATCTGAGAGCTTACGAAGAGCAAAAGCTTGCTTGTTGCAATTCCCAGTATTACGAGGCAGATAATCACGATGATGATACCAACTATTACGTTCACCATCTGATGAAGTTTATTAACAGCTGTTTTTGTATCATTCAGTGTCAATGCAAGTGCTTTCCGTTCTCTAAAAGCATTGACCTGCATGGAAGAGGCATAAAAGACTTAAATGTATTCCTTCTCAGTGTCAGCTAGACATCACAAGTTTGTACCATTTTTGGCCCTGCAAGGCATCAAATGATTAAGCATACCACCCAGTTCCTCAGGGACGCCCTGCTGATTTTTTCACTTTCAGGTGATCCTTCCACAATATTCATGATCTTCAAAGCCTCCTCCTCTCGCAAGAAATGCATCATGTCTTCTAGGTAGATGAATCTGCAATTAGTACGGAATTTTAATTAGCCATGATTCCATATATAAGTGCTAAGGCTAACTGAAGTCAGATAGTGAGTGAAGTGAATCAGATGAACCATCAAAAGGGTTATTGTCAAGAGAAAAACACAAGATTATAAGGAGTCATCGCATGGTTCTATTAAATGGTTCAACATCCAAGACCATCTCTCTGATAAAAAATTGTGCATGTCTCATACCTGATATCTCCATTTGAGACAAATTTCAAAATTCACATTCCATAAAGGATCAGAGGGAAAATCTACTACTAACTTCAACTATAAAATGAGCTGGTCTACTACCAAATTGTCTTCAAAATTTGCATTAAGATCAAGAGCCAATGTATGCGGAGATTACCAACTAACACCTTCTACGTACAACTTCTCTTGAACAAAACCATAGGATTATTATAACTGCCACCCGAACTTGTCTAGGCTCGAGTAATACTAGTATTCTCTGCTTTGCAGGATTAAATCTCCGAATCCCTTATTAAGAAATATATCAACATCAGACACCATCAACTTAATTTGAATCTACAAGACATGGATCGTTATGAAGCCTAATTTCCAATTCCTATACAAGAGAACAGAATTACATTACATTAGCTTTACTATATTTGTGCAAACAACTCAGGAAAATTGATTACATTAGTTTCAAGTGCTTTGGCTAAAAAGGAAACAAGTATAATAAGGTCAAGACATGAAACATGGAAGGTGATCTTTGATTCGGCGCAACTGGATAAGAGGCATTTTAGCTTCTAAAAGTCCGACAGAGTGCATGAAACGAAGATTGAAAAGATAAGGTAAAAGGTGGACTGATGTGAGCTTACTTAGCCCTGGGTTTTGCTACATTTCTGAATATCTTCCTTGCTGCAACTTTGGCCTCACACTCACTTCTAATCTGTGTGGCAGATTCGTCATGGTGAGAGCTGCCCATAATTTGTTCGTCCAGCGTAGACAGGACCCCATGTCTAACCATATTCATCAACCTCTTCATATTCCAAGCAGATATATTCTTGGGGTTCAGCCTGTGCAAGTCATCAATTGTTATACCAGGGTCATCATGATGCTTGGCCATTGGGCTGGAGATCTTGACACTAAGTGTTCTTGAAGGCCTTGGGGGTAGTCCTGCTGTTCCC